GTGCGCGGGGAGGCCGGGTCCCGCCGCGGGCTGTTACGTACCGGGGCACGCGGGCGTAGGGGCGAGGCAGGCCGGAGGGGAGATCCTGCACGTCCTGGAGGGGCCTGCTACATATGACGAGTGACGCGGCAGGGAGACAGCTTGGGCATGTGCACGCGCTCGTGAATATGCAATAAATGTAGCCCCTCCATTGTGAAGTACTAGAAAAGGGCACATTCGCTTATTTTAATGCACATTAGTGAAAGCACATGGGGGGGTGGCGGCATTAAAATAGGTGGATGTGCATTAAAAAGCATGTGTAAAAACACCCCGAGCGTCATTTTTAATGCGGTGGCTTCGTTGGGTAAGTGGTTTTCTGTTTTCTGGCTCTGGAAAACCGATTGCAGGTTCTTTGCCTGTATTTACAGGAGGCACCACGCGGGAAAGTCTAGCGCTAAAGGGGAGCTGGGTGGCAAGGGGAGCCTGTCCTACCGCTGCTCGGCTTGCTGCACTGCTGAGAGTTTATTGGGAAGGCCTGGGACAGAGGACAACTCTGCGCTCTCGTCTAAACTTCTGCATCTCGCAAGGTGTCGCCACTTAATAACCAATGATTCAAGTAAAGGACAAAAAAAATCAGACTTTGTTTATTAAAAAAATACTTTACAGGAAAAAATTCTATGCATTCCATTGTACTATTTTACAAAGAAATAGCTCAACAATTTTAACACGCTTGTACAGTCAGCTACTAAAAGAAATGCACTGTTAGAGGATTATTCACAGAGAAGTTTAGAATTTTTGTATCTGTTTACACTACTCATTATAAAAGCCTCTTTAAAACACTTGTTAAATGTCAATAAATATACTAAGGCCGCACAAAGCAAACAGTCTTCCAGGCAATCCTACGTGTCCTCTGTAGGCAGAGACCTTAGATAAATTAAAACCACAGGAAAAAAATAATAATCTTAGCTGCCAATTAAGAACCAAATAATTAAAAAAAAAAATCACAAACATTACTACAAGTATCTTTACACATTGTACAAAGAAATTAGAAGTATATGCATTCTCTAGGCACAACTGAGAAATGCCTTAAATGACACCTTCTCGCCTACATGTGCTATTGGATCCTAAGTAGTATCGTGTATATTCGTGGAAGGCCATCGCTGGGAGAAGTCTGTCAGACCAACATCATACAGTACAAGCTTCCAGGTGAAGAATGTCCCTCCTCTGGGAGTGAAGATAAGTGTTCCCTTGCCTCACGCCTTTCAAAAAGGCGCTAAAATAAGACTATTAAAACATTTAGCATTTGCGGCAAATCCTGTAAATGCAGCCTTGTGAATCATAGAAGGAGCCAAATGAAGGAGTTTAATTCCTGTCCACTCTGCAGCTCCGAGTAAAATAGCAGTAGGCCAAGAGACAAGAACCAAATAGTTGACAGAGTAAGAGCCCTTTTTCTGTATGGCAAAAATTTTGAAAGCAAAAATGTGGATTACATCTCCCCTGCGAACACTTCACTGAGTGTCCCACCTTCTTGGAAGAGAACGGAAGAACTGAGCTACTTGACTTCAAAAAGTACTCTTAAAGTAGGCTAGGTATCTAAACAGAATGATATCTTAGACACCCGAGGATAGAGGGAATTATTAAGATCTCATCTTTAGATTCTCTGTTGTACTAATTGATCTCTGGCACAATATGGTCATTCACTTTTCCAATACGACTTTTTTTTCTTCTGTGCTTGGTAAAGAAATGGTCTTCTCTATTAAGAGAAGCCAGGCCCTTTTTCAGCTTAGTGTTTCATTTTAGAAAGATCAAATGGATCTATGTTCCTGGAGTACTGCTATTGGCAATCTCTCTCTGGTACAAGGTAGAAACTTATTTCACATTTCAACTAAATACTTAAATGTCTAACAACGTAATTAAACAACTCCCAGAGGACAGGGCAGGCCCTCTGCCAATGGAGCTACAACCATTTACACTACACTGACCTTATGCATCAATAAGTACAAATATGCATTGCGAGGATTTCTGAGACCTTTTATAAAATACAGCTATATATAACATTTGGAAGCCCTCATTCTTATTAAGCTGTTGAAACAGACAACCATAGAATTGCCAGTGAAGTTGAGGATTCTGTTTGCACATTGAAATAGAAGCAAACTTAAGCTAAATTCTGATTTTTTTAGTTGTATTTTCTTTCTTTCTTTCTTACCGACAGCAAGTTGCAATCAGATATTGCACTTTTCCAGAAACTTATTTGCAAGTATTTTCACTTTTCAACCCAGAACTTTGATTTGTTGAATATAGCACTGGATAGGTTGAACTTGTCCATCTGTCACTTGTAACTCAGGACAAAAAAAAATAAAAAAGTTATAACATCTTTCTTTCTGATTTATTATTTGGTAAATGGCTTTCAAATCTTATGCCTCTGAAGGCACAACTTCAGTTGCCATTTGTCAGCGTCTGTACCGTAGATACAGTGTTCACAAAGCAGGTGAGCTATCAGTTTCACAAGGAATTCTCCCCGTGCCTACATTTACCGAGGGCTGGATCTTGGATTCCAAGTTCCAAAGCAGTATGGCATTTTGAATTTTAAAAACAGTTTACATTAATATTTCTTCATAAATACCATAACTTGGCCAGGCAAAATTAAGATGAGAAAATAGGTGTAATGTGTTGTGAAGTTTTACTTGAAGTACTCTTTCATCAATTACATTCTGCATTTATGCTGAAGAGGGCATCAGTTTGACACCAGGTTTGGAGATAGCATATCCCTTACAAGAACTGCGTGTCACCATGGTTCCAGACTGAATTTATCAACTATGCCTTCTTGCTATTTCACTAATAAGATTTTTTTTGTTTTTAAAGTAAGTGTGAAGAACTGCTGGTCTACTTTGCTTTGTAGTTTAAAAGCATAGCATTATAAGTAATTCTGAGAACTTCCAATGTGTTTACAAATGTAATGTTTCCCTTTTCATTGTTTCAAGTTCAAATGGAATAAAAGTGATGCGGAGAGCATCTTAACCTTAAGTTGTGTTGGCTAAAGTTCAGTTTTGTATTTCAGAACACAGGGACAATGTTTTACAAAGAGATGAACAGCTTCTTTTGATTGTAAGGTCTTTGCAGATTCAGAGATTCCTGAGCGATTGTACACAGTGCTGACTGTCAAGCGACAGTCACATTAGTCAGCAATGACCTAGGTAGATGGACTGATGCCATCTTTGCCAATGTGGCCCAAAGAGAATAGCACATGGGAGAAGGGAAATGGGTACTTGGAAGACTAGCAGAATGAACTAACAAAGGATTACACAATTGTTCCTAACCATTGTGAAGATGAAGGATGAGCTGAAAACCAATATTGCCTGCGAGGAATTTTACTTTGCACAACCCTTAAAGCTCTATGAAATTCCTCAACAAAAGTGGAAAACCCACTAGAGAAGAGATGGCCCATTTCTGACCCAGTCTCAATAATCTAGAATTTCTGCTAATATTAAATTATACCCCTGCATGAAGTCACATTACTTTTCATAAAAGCTCTCCATTCTAACACCTTATTTACACAGATTACTAAACAAGTCACTACCACTTCAATCTGTAAATAAGTTTAATTGAAATATTTTTCTAGCTTGTTTTTGTACTGAAGATAATACATACATACACATAAGGAGTAATACAGACTAACTAAATCACTGCAGTATTTTCCAATGATTATTTTGCTATCATTTTCAAATAGTGACCTCTATTACTGAGGTGTTAATATGCATATAAGTCTACACAAAACAATATTGCACAAAGTAATATTTATAAGATTAACATATTTTAGAAGCTTCATAAAGAGAAGACTTAGTAGTTGATATTAAAAAGATGCATCCAAAATTAACACAGCATCTTCTCTTTCACATATTCTAATAGTGTTCCAAATCTCTCCTACCCCAGCAAGGATTAGAAAAAATAGAGTTGTCCAGAGACAACTCAATTGCACCAAAATCAAGTCTATATCCTAGGTGGATTACTGGGGGGGGGGAGGGGGGGGGGGGGACAGGACTGTTATGAACAGAAAGTGAAAGTAGTCAAATACAGCTTACATATTGAAATTCAGAAATGCAGTAGATTATAAAGCACTGTGTCAATGGATGACTCCTGACATTAGTTCATGACATTTTTTTCCCCACCAAGATACCCATGAGCTACAAAGTGGAAACAGCAGTCCACTGGACTAATACTTTATTGCAAAACAGCAATACAGAACTTCAGAGTTAAGAACCCATGTCAGCTATGGCCAGCCCAACAAGTATATTAAGTGCATCAGTACCAGAAAAAGGATGATTTGATCAGATGCTTATTATGACTTGATCCAAACAAAAATAAGTTAGTATTTTAAGCTTTAAAGTGCTCAGATAGGTTTCCTCCATGAGAATGCCAACAATTTTGTTTGTTTTTTTTGTTTGTTTGACACTAGTCTTATTTGTGTGTTCAGGGAAGATGCATTGAGGAAGCAAAATCCTCACACCAAGCATTACAAACAGTGCTACAGAAGTGTTACCTTATGCGATTACAGTTCAACAGGGTCAGACGTTTTCTTCAGTTAATCTCATATGCTACCTTTTTATCAACTGTCTAACAATTAAAAGTTAGTTTATCTATACACCTAGTATTTTGAGTATCAACCAGGATTTTAAGAACAGACACACCACAAAAATTGCTGATTATCCAAAAAGTGCTGTGCTTTCTCTTTCATGAGCAATTACAATCAGCTAGGAGTCACTTTCAGGTCATCCCTTTATAGTGAAGGCTAATGACAAAATATGGTAGGGAGATTAGACTGACCAAGATAGTTCAGTATTTTTTAAAGTTCCTGGAAGAATTCCATTCTGACTTGAAGAAATATTGAAAGCCTCATTACTTAACAGAAAGAAGTGGTAGACCAAGATAACTTGTTGTACTAAGGGATTTAAATACAACTTGAACTTTGCATAATCTGTGTAAAAAAGATATGCCTGACATTTTGGAATGTCACCTTTATAGAATTATAGGCAAGATTTCTCCAATAAAACATAAGCCATTTATAAAACTATAACTTCACATCAAAATTTTAAAAAGTTGTTAAAAAATGTTTAACTATGTACATATCACACAGGAGAGCCTGCATGATCCTGTGGACCGTGTTGATCAGACTCTAGTTTAAAACCTGGAAGGGGCTGGGCCGCTAGATCTGGTTGCATAAGTCCCGATATTGATGAAATGGAGGAGGATGGTGCCACTGTTGTGAGCTGTGTTTCTACACTTGGTTCTTCAGACTCTCTTTTTACACTCACACAGTGGAGCTCACCCTCTGAGTCTGTCTGTCCAGAGACATTACTGTTCGTGTTTGAATTGCCTTCTGCATTTTGTGAAGACTCTTCCACAGGATGGTACTGTTTGAGCCGTATATGCCAGGCTAAGCTGCAGACTGCTGACACTGTTTTGAATTGATGAATGACATTTCTAGGGATGAAGTAGATGTCATTGTCACACAACTGGATTCTAGCATAGCGAATACCTTCCCGTCTCATTTGGTTTAGCTTGGCTTCATCCACCCATTGAACACACTGAAAGGAGAAACACTACAGAGTTAGTCATAAGCTGTATTTCAGGGCCAAAAACTTAGTCTCTGCTATAATTGGTGAATACATTTGTTCAACAGCCTATTTTATTATTATTAAAGTAAATACATCCTCAATTAGAACTCCTTGGAGGAAGAAAAATTAAAGTTTGATTTATATAGTGCTACATACTGCAAGGTAATAATAAGCAGTTACCACATCATTCTAGGGTCACAAATAGGGTTGAAGAATTAGGACTTCAATAAAAGACATTTTGACCTGGCATTACCAGGCAGGAAAGCTGTCCTTGGTTTGTCCAGCCACTGTGAAGCATAACTATCACATTGGAAAAATGCAGATGTAAAAGTATGCATAGTCCCTTACCCAGTTTAAAAAGGTGTTTCTGTAGCACATGCTATAACAAAATTGCCATCTTGCAGGCAGGTGGCTGCCCAGTGGAGTTTAAAGCAGTATGTGTCAGATAGGTGGGGCACCTCCAGATGAGTGTGGATGTGCTGTGTGTGGCACTGAAGACCCATCTGCAGCGCCATACATGCAGGCATTCCCCACACTATTACTTTGCAGCACGGGGGCGGGGGGGCCTTCTTGACCATGGGAAATCCAGGGGTCAAAAATAAATAAATAAATAAAATAAAAAATAAAACAAAACTCAACAAACCATGCCAAGAGTAGGGTGGTGCACATGGCAGCAGTATGCGCCACCCTAAGCCTGAGCCTAGCTGGCCAGTCATGCTCCGGCTGCCAGCTAGTCTCCCAGCTGCAGGAGCACTGACACTGCAGCTTCCTGAGGCCCCCACACCCGCAAGTTAAGTCTGCTGGGGCCAGCACGCTTGCTGGCCCCAGACTCTTCCACCCCACTCAGGGTAACCTGTTGAGCGCCAGATTGTGGGTGGCATGGGTACTCCCTGGGGACAAGCAGCAGTGGCACAAGGTGTACCTGTCCCTAAGGAAATGCACATTCCTGCTTGTGCACATACAGTTTGTTCTGGAGAGTAGGACGGGGGAAGTAGAAACTGAGAACAACAAGATTCCATGACCCTACTCACTTGAATCCTTTAAAGGAAGACAAGGAAAAGACAAACCTGAAATACTTATCCATGCCAGAAAAAATAAATACAGTAATAACAAAATCCAAAATACTCAAGTGACCAGCTTATTTCTGCTAAAAAGAGCTAAAGAAAAATAGCTTTGAACACAAGCCTAGAACTAAGTTAAATCCAAGGAACTTGCTGTTTCTACTTTTCAAATCTCAGTTATTCATACATATGAAATGAAAAAAATCCAACAAATGTTACTTTTCAAGCTATAACAGATATGCAGTATAACATGGGGTATTCAGGGATAGTTATGTTGAGTTGCAAGACACTATGGAATGCTGAAATGGTATTGTAATTTCCAGCAGCAATACATTTATCTAAGGGCTGGCTGATTAAAGACTACTCTTGTAGACATTAAGAAACCATACCTAATGCAGGTAACAAGTCTGCAATGCTTTTCTTTAAAGAAATCAGACTCTGGTATTTGATAATCGGTTAAAAGGCCTGAAAAAGAAATGCAGACTATGCAGAAATAACCCAAGTAGCTGGGAGGGGTCAATCATACCAGACTTAAGACCTGACAGTACTTGTTTGTCACTTCTTATGAAGCAAAAAGGTCGTTACCGATCTTGTAAGCCAAGTATGCACATAAACTGTTTTCTGTATTAGGAGAGGTTCTTTGTAGTGTTTCATATTTGAACATGACTTGCTTTATGAAAGCCAGCTGGTCAGTGATCAGCTTGCCATTGTACCCAAGAGAAAGCAGAGCTGGACATGCCAAATCAAGTTCAGACTTGAAGAAACGAATGCCATAAATTCCAAGGCAGTTGTAGCCTAAAACCCAGTCTGGAAAAAAGGGAATTATGGGTTCACACCTTTAGAAAGGAAACAGAGGGGGCTGCCTGAGGTCTTAATTCCAGGCTTTACCTGTGACACTGGAGGTTCATGCAGATCCAGCTGAAGTCTCTGCACAACATCAGTGAAGTCTTCAGCATGAAAACAAACCACATCTTTGGTTATGCGCGGTTGGTCACTCCTGGGGGGGAAACCAGTTGAAGAGCCTTAGAATGTGATGACGACTCTGGAGTGCAAAACCAGTTTCTTAAAGGAAATATCTATTATACTTTGCCACACGCTGGTATTTCCCCTCACTATTAGCAAGCCATAATGTGCTTACTAGATTCCGCAGATTTTACCTTGCTTTCTGATTTTTTTTTTTTTTTTTTTTTTTTTTTTTTGGCATTC